GGGGAGAGAGGTGAGGGAGAAGGTGAGGGAGGAGGTGAGGGAGGAGGTGAGGGAGAAGGTGAGGGAGAAGGTGAGGGAGGTGAGGGAGGAGTGAGTGAGGAAGTGAGAGAGGAGGTGAGGGAGAAGGTGAGGGAGAAGGTGAGGGAGGAGGTGGTGAGGGAGAAGGTGAGGAGAGGTGAGGGAGAAGGTGAGGGAGGAGGTGAGGGAGAAGGTGAGGGAGAAGGTGAGGGTGAGGTTGGAGGTGAGGTGAGGAGGTGAGGGAGGAGGTGAGGGAGGAGGTGAGGGAGGAGGTGAGGGAGGAGGTGAGAGAGGTGAGGGAGGGGGGAGGGAGAGGAGCGAGTGGCTAGATGCCTCTATAACTTATTCAAGCAGTAGCTATAACGCCTATGAGATCCTTATTGACAGCTCCTGCAGCGTTGCCACACTCACACTTTCTCCCCCTCCCACTACCCCTCTTCATTCAAACGCTCGCCTCTAACACACATTTCAAAGCAAAAACCGACCAAATGGACCAAGTTGCGTTATAGACTACTGGTAGCATTCATTGGTTCCTCGCATGAATACATGGTTGCCAGGCTGGGGAGGGTCGTAGTGACGTCTGAGGGTGTTAATTAGAGGAGTGGTCAAGTTGCGCGCGGCTGGCAACACTGCGGGTCACCTCTCCGGTTGCAAAGCTCAGGTCTCGTAGACGCCAGATTGGTCATGATTTATGTGTGACCATCACGTCACCCCAACCGCCCAAACATCACCCCCTCCAGGCCCACCCCAACATGACCACCACCCCATCCAGGCCCACCCCAACATGACCCCCACCCCATCCAGGCCCACCCCAACATGACCCCCACCCCATTCAGGCCCACCCCAGCATGACCCCCACCCCATCCTTTCCTACCACCATGAACCCCCTACCATTCATTCTCCCTCGTGACCCCCCTTACCGTTCACCCCCCCCCCTACCCCTCCCCCCCAAAACATGATTCCCCTGCGCCAATTCCTCTTCCAACACAGTCATGCCAGATACCTTTTATTGAATCACACTTGCATAGTGCACGAGGTTAAGTGGACCACTTAAAACTTGCAAAAAAGTTGCAAGTCCGCTGCTCACTCCCTCCCTCTGGCGCTGAGGAGTGTGAGAGGCCACTGAGGTATTTTTGTGACCTCATGAGTCGGTAATATTTATAGTTTTACCTCACAAATAGACACAATATACAGACAAATCATATTAGTGGTAAAACCACAAACGTGGCTTACAATTAATAGTATTTCATCGCGGAGAAGAAATACTACTAGTTACCATGGATATATATATATATATATATATATATATATATATATATATATATATATATATATATATATATATATATATATATGTCGTACCTAGTAGCCAGAACGCACTACTCGGCCTACTATGCAAGTCCCGATTTGCCTATTTGCCTATTAGTATTTAGGAAATACTAAAGCATGAACACACTTATAGTATGATAATTGCAAAACATACATTCTTAAAATATGATTTGTAGTCTCAAAGATGAAATGATTATACTGTTGTGATATAATGTGATGAACCGATCTTGTGGGCTGCTTCTAGCCCCCAGTAACCTGTGGTGGTGATCATAGACTGTGGTCTTCTCCAGAAGCCAGACTGACGGGCCGCCCACCTACTGCTCTACACTGGGAGAACGGAAGGCCCTCACAGTTACAGGCCAAAGGGTCCCACCTATCCCTTAATAGAGGCAGGTCAGAAGGTCCCATCTACAGCTCTACAGGGGCAGGTTATGGCGTCCAATCTCTAGCCCTATAAGGGCAGGCTAGGGTGGGGGGTCTACCTACTAAATGGTAGGAAAAGCTCTATCTACAAGCCTACAGAACCGGGATGGACGTCCTGTCTGACAGCACAGCGACTCAGAACTGATATGAAGACTTGCCTGCCAATATTTGTGGAGCAAACACCCTCAATCAACAAGGCATTAATTCACTGCCCGTGTTGACTTGCCCGGTTTTCCGTAAATCAATATACTTGAGAACCGGTGATATATCATACTTCAGTGGCTGTGAACACCACAAATCTCTCTCCAATTGTTCATCTGCTGGGCTCACAAAAGTCAGTGTAGATGGAAAAAGGTACTTTTTTGTGTATTTGTGTTTGGCATCTCCACCGGGATATCCACCTCGTCAAGAAGAGTGGGATGTGCTGCTTGGCGCGAGAGCAAATATGGCGTTAACAGCATCAGTCTTGCGAGTTCGAAGCTTCACATTCTGATTCTGATTTAGTGGTGGGCGCGAAATGATTTTTTCTTTCCTCTCTTTTTTTTTTCTTTCGCGCTACAAGACAACCAACTCTCACTTTCACATTTCCAGTTGGTCTCCGCGTGAAGCTGTGAACCAAGGCCTTGACCAAAACGCATGTCATTAATTTGGTCCTTCCATATTTTGTACAATGCTTCTGTATGTGTGTATGTGTGTGTGGTGGGTGTATATATTATATATATATATAATATATATATATATATAATATATATATATAGAATATATATATATATATATATAAATATATATAATATTTATAATATATTATTATATTATAATATTATATATATAATATATATATATAATATATATAATATATAATA